CACCAAATATGAAAGAGAGAGAGAGAGAGAGAGAGAGAGAGAGAGAGTTTGATATATAATCTCCTATATTGTTAAGTACAATTTTTTAAAAATTTATACGTCTATTAGTTGGTAAATAAAAACTGCATTCTTGGTCTTTATATTTTTTTACAAAATAACAAAATTTGTGCACATTTTTTAAATAGTGGAGAATTTGTCAAAATTGTGGACATTGTATGGCATGAGAGAAATGTTTATTTTGTTTTTCGATGTTTTGATATTTTCCAGTATTAATAATAATTAGATTTATTCGCAGCGACTGTTTGTCACAAATACGAGTCATTTAATATGAAATTTCATTTATATATTGAACCAAAAATTAGTGGATATATTGAGAGAAATGTTATAAAGATATTATATTTAACGGCAGATAATTCCGGATTCATTCATCTTGTGTTAAGCGATGCACAGAATGATAAAGAATTATATCATTGATTGTATTAAATGTGTAATCATTTGGTTTTGTGATAATTATTTTAAATTTTTTTTATTTGTCATATTTTTATAATGACATTTAAGAAAAACTAATTTAATTAATAATGGATTTATGATAAGATGTTACAAAATTACATGTTTTATATTAGTGACATAGATTAAAGTGTTTGCCATTTCATCACAATGTGTTTAGACTTAATTTAAAATTAATCCAATAATGGGTTTTATTTAAGATATAATTTTGTAATTAAAACATTTAAGCCATTTGTTGATCAGTTGTGAGTCTTAGACTGTATTTGTTATCATTACTGTATATTATAACAAGTCTTAATAGTTATTATATAAATGTCTTAACAATATTTGTATTAAAACTGTTCATTAATTTATCTATTGTATAGTTTAATGCAATTTATTTTATAAAAGATTTTCAAAAATTGTTTGCAAAAGAGTTTGTTTATTATAGAGTTAGTTAATAATTGAAAATATAATCCCAAAAATGGTCTTTCATTTTATGAAATGAATATTATTTGTAAGAAATTTTAGTTTTTGACGAAAATCTTTGGATTGAAAGCAAAAATAAGATAATGTATGGAAATGTTGGCTAAAGAATAGTCAATAGAATTCATTTTGAACGATAAAATAATAGAATATATTCATTGGATTTTTTGTTGACATACATTGACGTTAAATACAAATAATCTCATTTTGTTTAACTTTTTTGTATATAATTTAAACAACTCATACACAACGATGCTATACATTGTTGGACGTTAACCACTATTCGGGTGATGCTCAAAGAATAGAGTAGCATTGTCTATAGATTTAATGTGTCCCATAGATTTAGAATTCTCCACTGAGTTAACATTGCTAGTAGATATAGCATTTCCATAGACTTTGAATGATCTATGACATAGATTCTATGTTAAAGTATAGTCATAAACATAAGCTGTAATCCCATGTTAAATGCCCATAGAGTCTAGAACCACATGGTAAAGTATAGCCATAAAATTTAGCTGGAATTCCATGTTAAATCCCATAGAACGATAGAGTGTGTGGGGAGGGGGTTGACCGATCCTATAAACCACATTCTTCATATATAAATTGTGGTTGAAAACATACAAACTGTCTAAAGAATTTCCACACATTGTTATGGCATATAATTTTGTTTTGTTTTACTTGTTAGACATTATATTTAATATTTATTTATAATGTTAAAGTTCTAATTGTAAAATACATTGCATTTATTTTAACTAAACTTTAAGTATTTTGTAAGTAAATTAATATAACTTAAAGTAAATTTATGTTTTATGCTTAAAATATGCAGAATTTATCATTTTTATAAGCTTTATAAACAGCTAAGGCTTTACAACTTTAAATTAACTTAATCGTGAAATCATGAATACAAAAATAATACTATACTTAATTTAAAACTATTATATGTTTGAGTTATCATTTTTAAGATGTTACCATGAATAAAGACGTCATTCACAATTACAGAGATTTTAAAATTTATTTTTAAAACTTGTTATAACTGTCAGTAACTATGAAATCAAATAGAAAATGTACTTTTGATATTAAAATATTCAATTTATTTTAAGATTTTAAATCACAAGTTTATATTATTAAATAAAGTTATATGATCAGTTACCATGGTTAGTTTACTATAAAATAACGAAAATAATTCTTGATGTCAAAATATTCAAAAACTACTTATCAACACAAATAAAAATCTTTAATAGTTTTAGTAAATGGCAAAGTAAACTATTTAGAATATGTTAATTGCTTATAAATATTAATTAAAATAAATCCAGGGCGTATTTTAACATAAATTAAAATTGAACAATAATTTATTACTAAAAATGAATAAAATATCCAATATAAAAAGGCTTTAAAAGTGTGTAAGATTTATAATAAATTTATATCTGTAGTGCATAATATTGATATATTAATTAATCCTATTTAAAAAGTCTGGGAACTAAATCAGGGAATTGAGGGAATACTGTAAATATGTAATATTGCCGTATATTCGGGATTATGAAAGGAATTGAAGTTTCAAATGGAATTGTATATTAAATGTATTACACTTTTCCAGATAAACAGTGTCTACAATGACTGCCAAAAGGCATAAAAATATGATTGAATTTTCTTTTAAACACAACTCATAGAATTTAACGCCTTTTATGTGTTATAAGTAGAGATAGGATTATTCGGGAATAAAAACCTCCAAATTGGATCGGGAACCGAGAGTCAAATTTGGGAATATTTGAAAACTAACGTTAATTCTGTTTAACCAAGTTAATTATACATTTAAATCATTTAATCTCGTACATGTAGGTAAAAATTGAAATTAAAAACATAGAAAATGAAGTTTTATTCTATAGGTCTGTCTTTCATTTGTAAGAATATTCTTCAATTGAGAGAAAAACAAAGACAGCGTCCACTCAATTGGTGCATATTCTGTGAGACATAATTCAAAATATTTTGTATTTTTAAAATAATATTTTTAGTTTTTCATAAAAAGAGTGCGTTTTATGGAGTATTTTGCATAACATTTCGGGATTTGTCTCTAAAATATACCAAAATCAGGAATATTCGGGAAAATAAAAATGGTATATTGTTCAATTAAGACGGGCAATGTTATTTGATGTTATTTCCGAATATTAACTTAAATTTATTCGGGAATTTTTGAAAAATCTCATCTCTAGTTATAACAAAGAATATTAAATTTAATGTCAAAAAAGTATTATTATTTTGAGAACTGAATTAACTTACCATGCATACTAACATACAATAATATCATTATTATTAAATTATCATGTTAAATTAACGTTATACAATATACTTTAAATGATAAATGATTTGACATTTGTTGAATCCACTGTTAGGGCAAAGATGGAGAGTGTGTGCGAGAATGCTATGGAAAATTGTACACAAATGCATCAATTCCTACACAACATAACGTTTGATAACGAAAGCGAATCGTCGGAAAATGTAATCATATTTCCGCGACCGTTGGAAATGCTGGAGCCCTGGAATATAAACCCATACTTTTTCCCAATTTTGATCACTTATATCATCACATTTATTGTCGGCGTTTCGGGCAATATCATTGTGATCAGCGTTATGGCCGGCGATAGGGCTAACCGTTCGGTCACCTCTATATTCCTGGTCAGTTTAGCGGTGGCCGACCTATTGCTTTTGGTCATCTGCGCCCCACTCGATGTCGCCCACTATTTCGTCATCCAATGGGACAAAGAGGGGACGGTTTGCAAGTTAGCCGCTTATGCCGAAAGTGTGTCCGCTTTCGCATCGGTCCTCAATTTGGTTGCCGTCTCTTTCGAAAGGTTTTTGTAATTTTTTAATTTATTTTTATTGTAACTGTTGTTATATTTATACTTATAAATAAATTTGTACACTTATATTAATGTATCTTTTAATTAATCAAAAGTTACTAAATATTTTACTTAAAGTGTTGTAGCATTTAATTAATAAATGGTAAACAAGTTTAAGTTTAAATATTTTAGTAGTATTTTGATCGAGGTAATCAAATATTTATATAGGGCACTATTTTTGAGTACTAGTAAAAAACAATTATACTGTATTTATTTGTAGGCCTATATAACTAACTCATACTATTTTAGTTGTAAAAATAAAAACTAATTAATTTCTTAGTTTTTAATGTAAATATATTTTCTAAAAACATCCGAACAATAAATATAACCATAGATTGCCTTAAATATTGCACACATTTCGTGGCATTCATTGTTTATTCATTAGTAAAACTAATCATTCTTTCATTTTCATTATAAAAGTGTAGAATAATTTATGGATAAATTATCCAAAACTCGTCTCAGGATTAAAACAAAACCGAAATAAGTGCACAAAATAATTATTTAAAAGGACTTTTGTCCAAAAGAATTTGAATACAATTTCTTATTGTTAATGTCTATGCAATGAAAGGCCTTTTAAAATGTATTGTGTGAGAGAATAGACATAAATTGTTACACATTTAATATTTCCATTAAATTCAATTTATATAAGTTTATATTGTTTAGTTGGAAATCCCGGAAACAAATTGTATGAACATTCTTGTATATTAATTTATATAAATAATGAACATTTTTACCATTTGTTATATATTATACATATTATACAATACATATTTTCTGATATTTGTATTTTATATTATAAAATGGATTAGTTTACTTTTACTTTTATCAAATAACTATTATTTGTATTTATAAATAATGTATTTTATAGTCAAAAAGTTGCCGAAATGGGTATACAATCCTCTTTAGAGTTATGGTTAATAATATTTAGGAATTTAAATAAATTTATAAAATAACATTAGGATTTGAATTTGAAAATCGAGTCATATGTTGAATATTAATGTAAAATATTCATTGATGTACGAGATTTAATATAATAATAGGTTGTTATGGCATTCATTATATGTGAAAACAGTATGAATGCAATGAATATTTCTAAGACAACAATAAGAACAAAGAGACAGTGCTTTTAGTTTTGTATTTCCTTTGAGAATATGTAATGCATTCACAATAATTCAGATTAAATCCGATTCTTTTGCCTATGAATTAAACATACATTCAATAAATGTTTACTACATATAAATTTCCACAATATTCCCACAAACTTTTAGCCACAAGTCTATAGTTAAAGTAAATATCATGTAATAGAATTAAAAATATCTATGTATAGCACTCTTGTCATTACAGCCCACTCTTAATACAATAATATTGACTATTTTCAACAAAACCCTTATTTTTGATGCTATTTAAAGCGGATATTGACAAACAGAATAATAGTAATACATTTATATTAAATCCATTGATAATTATCCATTATTAATTAATTTTGTGGTTAAAAATAAAGTATTAAAAACTGTTTTAATATTACAGTTATTAATATACAAAATCCTTTGATGATTTTAATAACAGATTGATACATATAAATATAATAATAAATGTCTTACGCAAGTATTTTACCTCATACTTATAATTAAATTATAATCCAAAAATAGTTACACTGTTGATATGAAATCATAAATATCTATAATCTATTACAATTTGCTAATGCTACATTATGCTAATGTTTAACTTAAATTATGCATGAATTGACAGATATGTAGTGATAGTATTCCCAATACGATCAAGATCGTTGTGCACAATGTCTAACTGTAAGAAAATCATGGTTATTGTATGGATGGTCTCACTCTTGTTGGCCACACCTGTCATCTTCACTAAGGTATCCATTATTTGATTTATAGTAATACTGTATAATTAAATATATCTTATATTATAAGCCTAGCAATATTATTGATATTTTGGATATTAGCTCGTTGTTTTAGTTTTTATTTAATATGTTAAGTTATTTCACAGAATATATTTACTGGATTTAAATTTTGTTTAATACTTTATATAACACAAAATTGATTTGAAAACTAATCCGAGTTTTTGTTTTTGTTAAGTAAATTCTATCTAAATGAATGTCTGAGAGTGTGTACTGTTATCTAGAATGAGATATTAAAGAATATTTGTTTTATATAATATTTTATGAAAATTTATGTAGATTATTTCTTTTATGTTTTTAATGGTTGTGTTTTGAAGCTTAATATTTTACAAAATAGTTTAGTGAACATCTAAATTATAAAAAGGGGTTATATTTGTGAGTTGAGTAAATATTTACTATATACTGTATTTCAGTGTTACAAATTAAATTTTGTGACAATTTTAGTTGAACTAATAAAACTAGCATTTTATATCATTCATTAAAATAAATATAATTTGTAAAATATTTTACTAATTTTATTATATAAGTTAATTTTGATGTTTTTAGCGCTATTTCACATAACAGTACTGTATATAATACAAATTCTATGATAGAAAAAAATTCTCAAAAAATGTTACAAAAAAATCATATCAATATAATTTGCAAAATTTATAGCAACAGATAAATAAGAAATCAATCGATAAAAAATTGCAACACTGTTTTTGAAGCCAATTGTGTCAAAACAACACAAAAATAGTGACAAAGTTTAGCGAATGCCATGAGTTATACCAAACGCGTGAAACATAATACTCGGTAACCATGTATTGAATTCTCTGTTAATTAAAGGATTAAATATAAGCTACCATTTGATGCAATGGATGGCTATAACAACTATATTCACTTTTACCTCAATAACAATATAGACTAGCATTTGATAGATTAATGGACGAAAGACTTGTTTTGCTGTTTTCTGTGTCTCTCATTATTTCCGAGCAAAATATAATATAATTTAATTTTTTATCACGTTTTTGTATTTAATTATATTTTTAATTTCCAAATTTCTGTCGCAAAATATACAGAATATGATATTTAAAGCAAAATTTAATGACTATTATTAATTTGAATTTTGACGACAGCTTAACGGTTGATAAATTTAATACTCATTTGATCCCTAAATTTTGGTCTCGCATTCAAATTAAATTACATATTAATTAATTATGTGTAAAATTGTTTGAAAATTAGCAAATAAATTAAATTAAGTGATTGTATAACAAATTTTTATTAGAATACAGTAAAGACCACGTTTACAAACAACGAGATTTCGGTTACACTGTATTCGTGCAAAGAATTGAACGATTGGAGAGGGTTTTCGGTTAACATCTATAGATTTGTAACTCTTTTTGCATTGCCATCAGTTGTAATGATTGTCTGTTACTTATGGGTTATAATTGAGTTATGGATTTCCACTAAAACTATGGATGAATTAACGCATAATCGGTATTTCAATTCATATATAGAGTACAGTATTTAATAAAACACTATATTGTAAATATGTATTCCAGTGGAGGTCTGCAGACCGGCAGTCAGTCATTGGAAATCATGAGAAGTGAGTCGAGAGCCAGTATTAGTCACGAACAGACATCTCCTGTCTATCAATCGCCGACTCGTTATATATTGAGAAGTCATACAAACGATAACAGAGATGTGAAGAGAGCCCGACAACAGGTAAATAAGACATGTATTTATAAATCAATTAAATCAAGGGCAATATTATAAATATACCTTATAGAAAATAGTAGTATTATTTATATTCATATTATGTGGAGATATACAGTACATGTACAGTAGTTTTAGTACAATATGTTATATTCATTAGACGTTTTCATGTTATATTCCTGTTATTAATTATATAAAAAACATTTGCCTATTAGGAAAACATGATAAACCAGATTACAGAATATGTGCATTAATACAGAAATTATAATATAAATTGAATAATGCAATACTTGTGTACATTAATTAACGCCATAAGCCTTTTTAGCGAATTTTTTAAACGACAAAATAATAAGTTAATGATAAAAACATTTTTTATGCTTTTTATGCTTAAAACATAATATTTTTTAAAGATATTCTTATTCATATAATTTTAAACGAAAAATTTTTTAACGCACACATTAATACAAATAGCATTTGTTGTCTATCACATACTTAAATAATCTTGCATTTTAACATGATTACCTAACACCATAAATGAAGGTGGACTAATTGGTGTTAATCCATTGTTTAGGTGATAAAAATGTTGATTTTAGTGGTTGTGCTGTTCCTGTTGTGTTGGGGCCCTCGACTAGTGATGGAAATAGTGATCAAATGCTGTCTATCGGTGTTCAATAACGTGACATATTTGTTGCGAATAGTCTTCTATTTGTCGCCTTTCGTTCACTCATGTCTTAATCCAATTGTTTACGGCTTTATGTCAACCAAATTCCGGCGACGAATGTTCCGCGTCTTCGACCGGATCTGCTTTAAAGTGTGTCGAAAGAATCGGTCGGCGAATCAGCTCAAGAATAAGCGAATGTCTACTTCTATATCCAACTCCAACTCAATGGCCAGAAACGCGTCCCGAATCACATCCACCTATACCTTCAGCTCGTTTGGCAATTCACTCAATTCGCCACAGAATAACATTATAAACACCAGTCAGACATCACTTCACATCTAATTGTTATTTAAAATTTGTTATTTTAGTATTTTATGTCACAATTCTGTAATATTTAGTATTCTTTTGGCAGAGAATACGGTGTAAAATATCTTATTTACCTTAATCTTATTTAATGACTACACATAACACTTAAAATCTGTTTTAATTATTGCATTTTGTCAGTAATAAATATTTGGTGTGTGTTTAACATATTCTGTCATAAAATAATTTTGTATTTGATTTGTATATTAATATTTATGTCAAAAGATATGATATAACTTACTTATAAGTATTTGTAATTAAAGTCTATATTTGTAATAAATTATTGAAACATTATGTAAAGATTAGTGAATTATAATATCCAAAAATATGTATCATTTTATATATAAATTGATTTATGTTAAGTGGAAACGTATATAACGTATACATTCATAATATATTTATGATTATGTGATCATAATGTACTAAAATGTGCCAAAATAATATTTTAATGTATGCATAAACTTTAGGCGAGTTAATTGTTTTGCTTATTGTTTGTTATTGTAAAGATTGTTAATCAATGTATTATATAATATGTGTTTAATAAATAATGTTTATGACTATATATTATTTTGATCATTGAATAGAAATCTATATTCAAGTCAGACAATAGGGTTATGTCTTGAATGGATAAACAGTTCACAGAATATTCCTTAAAATAATAATATGGTTGAATAGGCTATTTATATAAGGATTTTTATTTTAACATTATTGGTATAACTAGAAAATTATTTTATACGTGAATTGATTAGGGTTTAGTTAAATACATTTGAAAAGTTAATTTCAGTCCAAATAACGTTCAATAAATGTATTTTTCAAAAAGTCTAATGAAGATCAATAGTATTCATTGTGAAGGAACTATACCTCAACTAACATAATGTCCACTAAAAAAACTTTTTAACGTCTCTCTCCTAATACTTATATAACTTATATTTTTACTCTCAATTCTCACACCAAATGACTAATGATTTCCTTAACTCGAAAAAGTGTGAAGACGTGAATTCAGTCGTCCTTTTATTTCAATAATATATGGTCTTCACTGAAAGGCTAACGCGATCTACACTTATGGTGAGTTGCCATTGATTTGTTTACTAACTCGTGAGCGAGTGTCCACTGATTTTAGCAATTTATGTCAAATTGCAACACATGTTATAATTGCAATATTTGTTGAAATTTAAAAATTCTTGTCAAAAAATCAATTACTGAAAAGAATGTGATTTGATTTCAAAGAGAAATCATTAAAACCCGAAATGTTTATGAAATTCTTTCATTCCTATAGAAAATGTTATAACGAAAAGTTTTACACGTTTTTATGACACCATTTGTTTAATATTTATGTTTTCCATAAATTTATATTAATGTGTCAACACTTTTGTATTTTTCTTCAAAACAAATACAAAACTTCTTTATTTTTTGTAAAAAATAATATTTCCATAAAATGGAAATAAATAACTTTTTTGACACATATTTCAAAACATTTAACTTCCGAATCAATTCAATTCAAATATATAGCACTGAATACAGTGTTTCAAATAAATACATAAATATAAATTTATTGAATTTGTTGAATATTGGTGACAGAATTAAATGTGAAAAATATTAACTGTTTTCATGTATTTGATGACAAACTGTCCTTATTCAAACAAATCTATAATTTTCTATCAAACGTTTGCAGATTTTATTAAATGTACTTTTAATTAATATCAGTAATTTATAACTAAAATATTATACAATTCTATAAATTATTAGAAAGAAAGAACTAGAAAGAATTAAGGCATAATATTTTAAAGCCTATAATACACATCGTAAGTCTATCTAATATTATAGATCCTGGATCTAAAATGCAATAACTAAAAATCATCTACTTTATATCCTTTATATCTACTGCATATCAAACTTTACAATACATATACTGTATCATTAAAAATGTATACATGCAATTGATTTAATATTACCATCTAAATTTAGTAAACAAAATGGATTTAAAGTATTAGTGCTTAGATTGTATTCCTAACAATTGTAAGTCGGGAAACAATAGGGAATTAATGTGAATCTCTGTTCACTACTCGAAATAATATTTTGATACATAATTGAGATTTGAGTTATATATAGATATCACTTATACTAATGATGGATACCATTGATTGCAATATTCTTTATGACACAATCAAAAAGTATATTCAAACCTCTCATCAACGATAATACAAATGACTAGAGATATCTCTATATTTAGCTCATGTTTTCTCATTAAATCTAAGCGATAATCATAAAACATGAGAGCATTGGCTCACAATTACTCGTAAACTAATTATACAAAAATCAGCCGCCGTTTGAGAAAACGTACTGTTTTTCTCTTTATGTCAATCGTTTGACACTTTTTTTTAATTAATTCCCAACTCTTATGAAACATTATAACTATTATATATTATTTGAACTATTTATTTACTTTTAGAAACTATTTATTTGCAGTTTACTTTCGCTTTTAATGTTAATAGAATTTAACAGCAAAATTCCCAACAATTTTTATTTGTATGCAATTATAATACATGACTTTTGAGGCATAATATAATGGTAATGGGGTTTTAATATGAAATCCTTTGTGTAATATTAGTTTCTATTAATGTTTTGCATTTTCCAAAACAATTTACAATTAGATTGCTTTCTATAGACCATTAATGTTAATCCCATTAATACTAAATGTGTGGCAAATGTAGTCATACATACCTTATAAGTTATAACATATTATGAAAATAGCACCAATTGTATAATTAGTAATATAAGTGCAAATTGACACAGGGTGCCATAATATCATCATTAGATACTGTTTACAGTATATGCAATTTGTTAAACAAGTTAATCTAGATTAATTTTGATTAACATTAAATAATTTGTAGGAAGTAATATAATATTATTAATATTGATAAAAATTTTAATTTGAATACAAAACAATAAGGATATTTTTGCAAAATGATTAATCATGTTTATAACTTATTGATTTTGTAAATTTAGCATGATTTTAATATTTTTGTACTTATATTTTGTGTCGAATTTATTTTAAAAATAAAACATTTTTTACTCTTAGAATATGGTTTAAAATAATATTCTTAATAATTATGTGATTTATTTGTTTAATAGATAATAATATTTATACAAAACATTACAATAATGTCTTTAATAATAAAATCTATTCGTATAATAATAACAACAATTTATTGATTTACTGTGAATTTTACGACAACATAATAATTATTGTTGTACAATTGAAGTGTACAATATTAGCATAATATATACTTTGTAATTCAATTATTTATCTTTGTATAATAAAGTCTTAAATATTTTGTCATTATTTTATATACTTATAAAACAAACAAAATTAAGACTCAAATAAGTATAATATAGGCAATTAACTCACGTTTTAATATTTATAATTGGATTTTTACTCATCTTTAAGATTTTTAATTAATTTCATTTTGAATAAATTCATAATTATAATCATAAAACATATTTTATTTATTACAAAATTAAAATAATTATTGCAAAAATAGTCTAATATATAAGTAATAGAAAACTAAATATTAATTTAAAAATATAAATCTTATTTTCAGTAAAAAATAATTAAAATCAATAAATTATTTGCTTTAAATTAAATTTTTATAACGATTTAAATTAACAAATGCTGCAAAATGTTTGCTAATTAAAGATTTGTTCAGTTATTCATTGGAGTTGTTGCTAATTAAATAGAGTAACGGAAAGTGAAATGAGTTTTTTGTGTGCAAAACATTATTTAGTCCTTTATTTGAATAATAAACTCTTTAACTTAATTCCCAATCAATTCTTTGGCAACAAAAAGCGTATATTGTATTGAATTTGTTAATTAACATCTCAATCAATTGCATAATATTACACAATACAATACAATATGCCGTTTCCTTTGTTCAATACAAAAGACATGTGTGAATATGTTTGGACATCATTTGTAACACAAAATATGGTCTTTTATATACAATTTGGTGATTAGAAGTCAAGTCATGACAGAGATTATCACATCAGTCACTTTGATGTCACCATTTTGTTAGCAATATCTTATTGTTATTATCTAAATTATTGATCGGCAATCTTTTTTAGCATAT